TTGTAAAAGTTTTTTTTGATTAGGTGGACACTCTAAGAGAAGAAAAAAGTGTGCTATTATATATATAGATTTGGCTTAAAAACATTTTTCCTAGATGTGAAATAGCAACATAATGTATAGTATTATATTATTTTACTGATCAATATTTAAAGAAATAGAAACGTAGAGTTAATGGTTCTAATTAATTTAGCAGAAGCAATGACAGAATTTTTTCTTGCAGTAGCCACCTTTCCCGTTATCACAGCCTTTAAGACACCAAGTGTTGCATTTGTCACTGTCATTACATACTCCAAACTTTGGATGATCGTTGCAACACAATGAACCTCCTTTGTTGGATGACCAAATTGAATCTTCACTCACCATTTCTGCGGAGTTAACACCTACAAAATTATACATATATATAACATTAACACATATTTAAATTAATGGTTTCGGAAAAAACCGTAATCGAAAAGAAAAAGAAATCGTTTAGTACGAGTTGTAATTTGTCTAATGGAACTTACCTGCAAGTAAAACGGAAAGAGTGAGGAAAGCGAAGAAAACAAATCTTGAATAAGCCATAGTGTATATATGTTTTAACTACTACTTAAGTGTTTAGTATTGTTAATGAATAATTTATGAGAAATGTGTGGTTGGTTACGTTTGATATATATATATAAGATTTTCACTTTATTTCCTAATATAGTTAAGCATTAAATTGTATATTGAACGAACATAGTCAACATTATTTTTAGCATACATAAGGAAATGATTATGCTATTCAAAAGAAACATTGCATTTGGTGAATGATATTATTTACACATTTGTAGAAACACAATTTGATACATGCATGATAAACAAATCGAGTCAACTAAACAAGGTGACTTGATTCTTTTCGTTTATCTAGTCGTTAAAATCTTTAAATGTTTTTTAAAACCCAGTTAAAGAAAATTAGGAAAAACTATGTTTTTGTTAATAATTATATAAAATTAAAACTAATATACATCGTGTACTCTTCTTTATCAAGTCGTATCGCTATCACCAAGTTTGAGATAGCGGTGAAATAATAACGTCTTGTCCTCTTTAATAATAAGACGACTAGTCTTCATGAAAATCATAAAAGATTTTAA